ATCCCAGCTACTCTGGAGGCTGAGGCAGGAAAATGGTGTGAATCCCGGAGGCAGAGCTTGCAGTGAGCCGAGATCACGCCACTGCACTCCAGCCTGGGTGAAAGAGCGAGACTGTCTCCAAAAATATATATATATTTCTAAGTGATGAATGCTTAGGGTATTGCTGCTTATTTCTTATTGTATGTGGTGTCAACATTTCTAAGTGTCCATAGACTTCTTTGGGCCTGGATATATTATCAATTTTTATAAAAGCATTTGTGTAATCTCAAAATGTGTTTCTGTTCTACCATTTCTATTTGTTAACTCCATTTTCTCATTGTTTTGTTCAAATCCATACTTTTCTCTGACTTTCATTTGTTTTAGAGTTCTTAACCTGGGGTCCATGGCCTGCCTAGGAGTCTTTAGCATGTAGGGGTTTATTGGTTGTAGACCCCTAGGAATTGAACAAAGCTGGATATGTGCATGAAGGAATTTTGCTGGAACAAAGATCTGTAGTATTTACTATATTTTTAAATGCCTCTGTGACACCAAAATAGTTCAGAACACTCATTTACCTGATCTAATCATAGTTTGATTTTTGTGTGTTATATCTTTATGTATTCCTGTTTCACTTTTAATTTCTGTATGTGTATTGTCGCTATGTTGTGCTGTTTTTCTCAAGTCATTTTTGAGAAATAGGCAGGGTATAAATTATCAATAAATAAGTATCATGTTTGGGGCATATATATTTAATAGTGATATATTGAAAAACTCGGCCGGGCACAGTGGCTCGCGCCTGTAATCCTAGCACTTTGGGAGGCCGAGGTGGGCGGATCACTTGAGGTCAGGAATTCTAAATGAGCTTGGCCATAATGGTGAAACCCCATCTCTAGTAAAAATACAAAAAATTAGCTGGGCATGGTGGTGTGTGCCTGTAATCCCAGCTACTTGGGAGGCTGGGGCAGAAGAATCACTTGAACCCGGGAGGCAGAAGTTGCAGTGAGCCGAGATTGTGCTACCGCTCTCCAGCCTGGGTGACAGAGCAAGACTCTGTCTCAAAAAAAAAAAAAAAAAAAAAGCGAGAAAAACGATGCCTTTTAGTACCCTCTTTGCCTCTTTTAATATTTCTAGCTTAAACTTGTCTTTTCCAAATATTATAATTGAAGCCCTTTGCTTTTCTTGAATTTGCATGGTAGAGTTTAGCTCAGCATTTTATTTTTTAAATTTGTGTATATATTTTGCTATACCTCTGTACATAAATAACAAATCGTTAGAGTTTGTTTTCTGGTTCTTTCTGTAATTTCTTTTTATACAAGAAATTCTATCATTAATACTATTGAGCAAGGCATAATTTATTTTCATCTTAATATTTTAATATATATTAACTAATCTAACCTCAAAAGGCCATGCTCACCCCTCACTCCCATCTCTAGGAGTTATTAACCATATGTGGAGTGTCATTTCTGGATAGACTATAGGTCTGCCATTGGGCCCACCTGTCTCTCTTCTTATCACATTTGGGTTTGGTGCCGGGATCTGCCCTGAGCCCATTTGTCAAGTTACAGCCTCTGACCTCAGGGTCCTCAGCTGTAACGGGGGAATGATGCCACTCACAGCCTTGGAGGGCTCAGAGGTATAAGGAATGCAAACGTGCTTAGCAAACTATGAGGTGCAGTTGATTATTACACTATTAGTATTTTGAAGTATTTTTTTCTTTTTCTTTCTTTTTTTTTTTTTTGAGATGAAGTCTCACTCTGTAGCCCAGGCTGGAGTGCAGTGGTGCGATCTCAGCTCACTGCAACCAGGATCAAGTGACTCTCCTGCCTCAGCCTCCCGAGTACCTGAGATTACAGGTGCACACCATTGCACCTGGCTAATTTTTTTGGGGGGACGGAGTCTCACTCTGTTGCCAGGCTAGAGTGCAGTGGCGTGATCTTGGCTCGCTGCAACCTCCACCTCCCAGGTTCAAGCGATTCTCCTGCCTTGGCCTCCTGAGTAGCTGGGCTAACAGGTGTGCACCACCACGCCCAGCTAATCTAATTTTTGTATTTTTAGTAGAGGCATGGTTTCCCCACGTTTGCCAGGCCAGTCTCGATCTCCTGACCTCAGGTGATCCACCTGCCTTGGCCTCCCAAAGTGCTGGGATTACAGGCATGAGCCACTGTGCCCGGGCCTCTTATGAGTCTTTAATACCAAGGATGCTTCCTCAAGATAAAGGCTCAAGTCCATTTCAGTGTCGACTGTCAGGGACTCAGCTGCAGACTCTTTTGATTTGTCTGCTTTTTGTTTGTTTTTGATTTTTTTGTTTTTTGCAAGCCTTTATGCTGCTTTCCTGTCTTTCTCTTCTTCCTGAGTTCCCTTCCGCATACCTACAGCGTGACCTCCACCAAGCTTGCAAGCTTGCTGTTTGCTGCAAAGAAACCTGGACTGACAATCTCTCTTCTGTCATCTGGGCAGCCAGACTGAGTGTCCCCTTCTACCTGTGTACATGTCCTCTAACACCTAACCCTTTGCAGCTTCTGTTTTTTTTTTCTTTTGGAGACAGAGTTTTGCTGTTGTTGTCCAGGCTGGAGTGCAATGGCAAGATCTCGGCTCACCACAACCTCTGCCTCCTGAGTTCAAGTGATTCTCTTGCCTCGGCCTCCTGAGTAGCTGGGGTTATAGGCATGCGCCATCACACCTGGCTTATTTTGTATTTTTATTAGAGACGGGGTTTCTCTGTGTTGGTCAGGCTGGTCTCAAACTCCCTACCTCAGGTGATCCACCTGCCTCGGCCTCCCAAAGTGCTGGGATTACAGGTATGAGTCACTATGCCCGGCCGGCTTCTGTTTCTTTATCTATAAACAGTACTGTCATGAAGATGCAATCAGATGGATTTTAGCTCAGAGCCTGCCACCTGGTGACTTACCCATATTAGGTATTGTGGTTACAGCCCTGCTGTCAAACCACTTCTCCGACTCTCTAGCCTCAATTCATTTGTCAAAGCGTATGGCCCCGGTATTTTGCTGCATATTCAGAAGTATGACCTCACGTCTGCAGAATGCCACTGGCTTTCACACGAAGCCTCCCAGAAAGGGATGCCAGGCCTCGACACTGGCTGGTGGATCTCAGGACTTGCCACTCCATTTTCGCATTTTTCAGGACCACATGGCATACAGTTGTTCTCACAGTCTTTCCTGTCTTCCCAGGGGTCAGCTGCAGCCCAGTTCTAGGGCTTCGGTGGGGGAAGACAGGAGAAGGCTGGGAGTCAGGGCACTAAAATGTGTCAGATGAAGCTTTGCTTGCAAGGAGCTTACCACTTGGGTGGTGGAGAAGGCCCAGAAGGCACTACTACAGTGCTTCCAAATCAGGAAAAGGTTGCTAAATGCCCATACTACTCAGGATCACATGGGAGCCCAGAGTTGGACACCTGGATCGACCTGACATTGATGATGTTTGGCTAGAATACTGATGGATGAATGGGAGGTAGCAAGACCGACACTGAGGGAAGGGCATCCCAGGCACAGGGAAGAGCATTTAGGAAGACTTGAAACAGTCGGATATATTCTGAGAATTCCAAATAATTCCACTCTTAAGTTGAGCCAGGGTATAAAGTCTTTAAACTATAACACATTCCAGCCATTGGTCTCTTTTTCTCCCTCTATTCCATCCCATATAGCTCAATTCTATAGCTAGATTTATCTTCCTTCCTTTCTTTCTTTTTTAAGATGGGGTTTTGACTGGGAGCAGTGGCTCACACCTGTAATCCCAGCACTTTAGGAGGCTGAGGGGGGTAGATCACCTGAGGTCAGGAGTTCGAGACCAGCCTGAACAACATTGAGAAACCTCATCTTTACTAAAAATACAAAATTAGCCGGGCATGGTGTTGCATGCCTGTAATCCCAGCTACTTGGGAGGCTGAGGCAGGAGAATCGCTTGAACCTGGGAGGCAGAGGTTGTGGTGAGCCGGGACCATGCCATTGCACTCCAGCCTGGGCAACAAGAGCGAAACTCCGTCTCAAAAAATAAAACAAAATAAAACAAAATAAAATAAATTTGGCTCCTCTGATTTTAAAATTGATTGGGGCTCCCTATGACCTAAAGAACCAAGATCAAACTCCCTGTTTTGACCTTCAAAACTCTTCACAGCCTTCCCCCAAACTCCTTCATGTCTCCTCCCTACCTTTTCTTATAGCCACTTGGATGACTTCCTGTTCTCCAAGCAGGCCAGTCACCCTTTTTGTCCAGACTTCTCCCTCTCCCTGGAATGTTCTTCTCCCCTTCTTCCTTGGACAAATTCCCCCTATCTTCCAAGACCCAATGCAGAGGACAGGTTTACTGGAAGCGCCTTCAGGGTACTCCCAGTGCCTAGAATCCAGCCTGTCATTTTGGTTGAATCAGATCAAGGACATCTTCCCTGAGTACCCAACAGAGACGCCCCCCTACACCCACCCCCTTGTGCTCCCTGCACTCCTGCTCCATGCTATGTTGGAACTTCTTGAAGTCAGGCTTCATTTCTTTTCTGTTTCATTTCTTTCTTTCTTTCTTTTTTTTTTTTTGAAACAGAGTCTCACTCTGTCGCCCAGGCTGGAGTGCAGTGGCGCGATCTCGGCTCACTGCAACCTCTGCTTCCCAGGTTCAAGCCATTCTCCTGCCTCAGCCTCCTGAGTAGCTGGGACTACAGGCACTCACCACCACACCCAGTTAATAGAGACGGAGTTTCATCATGTTAGCCAGGCTGGTCTCAAATTCCTGACCTCAGGTGATCCGCCCACCTCAGCCTCCCAAAATGCTGGGATTACAGGCATGAGCCACCGTGCCCAGCCTCATTTCTTTTCTTTTTTAGAGGAGTCAGGCTGGAGTGCAGTGGCACAATAGCTCACTGTAACCTCCAACTCTTGGGCTCAAGTTCTCCTGCCTCAGCCTCCTGTGTAGCTAGGGGACTGCAGGGATGCACCACCACACCCGGCTATTTTCTTTTTTTAATTAAATTTTTGTAGAGACGAGGTCTTGTTATATTGCCCAGGCTGGTCTCCAACTCATAGCCTCAAGCGATCCTCCCACCTCTGCTTCCCAAAGTGCTGGGATTACAGCTGTGAGCCTCCGCGCCTGGCACAGGCTTTATTTCTTATGCTCCTTCCTTTTTCCTGGATGCCTTTCTAACTCTGTATCTGGCACATAGAGGTGCTCCCTACGTGTTTGTTGAATGAATGAATGAATGAATGAATGAATGAATGAATGAATGAATGAGTGAGCGAACATGACATTTCATCTTATGTATCTCTTGAACCCGCCAGGCCCAGGCCTGATGTCATAGCCACTACCCATGGCCAGAGTCTCCAGTCCCCTGCATGTCTGCTGGCCACAGCGCGAACGCCGAGGCACCACCCTTCCCAACCCCAGCTCCGTCCCCTTCCCCGCCGGGGTGCCCCTGACCCTTTCCCCGCCGGCTTCGCGGTCCCGGGACCGCCAGTCTACAGCTCAGCCGGGGGTGTCCCCGCCCACAGCCAGGATTGGAGGACGGAGGCAACGCCCACCCCGCCAGGCGGCCTCCTATTGGCACGGCTGCCTCCAGGGGCGGGGACAGGGCCGGGCGCCAGTAGATGCCATCCAGGCCCGAAAAGCTCAGGCCAGTGGCGGGCGCGACACTGTCCGCGCGGCCAGGCGGAGGTGAGTGCGCCGCGGCCGGAGGGGCGGGACGGGCGCGGAGGACGCCAAGAACCGTGGCGCGCGCTCAGTCCGCGTAACCAAGGGCTGCGGTCTGCCAAGCTCAACGCCCTGAGCTCGTAGTCGGCCCGGCCCGGGGACCTTGCTGGCCGAGGAGGTCGTCAGTCAACTCTTGTCTTCCAGACCTGGAGGACCCAAGCTTCCGGACGACGAGGACCCGCCCAACATGGCCTCGGAGGTGAGTGGGACCTCGGGGACGCCGGTCCTCCCAGCCTCGAAACGAGAGGGTGGGGACGCCAGACCTGCCTCGGCCACCCTGCTGGGAATCCGTCTTCAGGAAGCCTTCACCCCCAGCACTCCCAGGCGCATCTTCTGGAGCTCAGCAGTCACCTTTACCGGGACTAATCAGTGTCCCCAGGCAGCCCTTATGGCAAACCCACCAACCCACGCTACTAGGGGTAGAGTGGCTCTGCGCTGACCTCACAGTGATGCCTGCCTGGCCAGGAAAACTGCTCCCACGCCTTCAGACCCCCACCTCTTCATTCCTTCTTCCCACATGTCCTGTCAGGTCCCACCCCGTACCACACCCTTTCTGCTACAGCAATTGTCCCTGTTTGTAGAATAAGTCTCAGCCCCTAAAGTATTATTGTCCTTGACTGTGGCATGTGGAAAGAGCCAGGAAAAAGGGGACGTCGCCCCGTGGCTCCAGCAACCCCGGTGCCTGATCCCTTCCTGTCTCACTGGACGCTGCTCCTTAGGATCAGCGACTCTGGCACTTCTCTTCCCCACCACTGAGATGCGGGAGTCCCAGGCACAGGTTTCCTTCCTTGGGCCTCAGTTGATTTATCTGGCAGTGGGGGATAATAATAGCTGTCGGCCTCCCTCCGAAAGGCACTAGATTATGAGGCCATTGCTTTGGACCCTTCAGGTTAAAGAAGCTGTTTGATGCTTGATGAAGGGAACTCCGGGAAGCAGGAGCTCTGGGTTCCAGCACCTTCTGGCCCTCATTAGCTAGCAATTCATTTCCTCTTTCTCAGTGCCCTTCAAGCTTCTGGGTCATGGGAGAGGGCAGGGGGGCAGGGCCTGGACTTTGGAGCCAAACAAACTCGGTTTCTGTACCAGTAACTTGAGCCCTCTGAACCTCTTTCCTCATTTGTGAAATAGGCGTGATATTGTGATATTGCTCACTTCATAGAAGGCTGTAATAACATACATCGAATCCCTACCACAGGACTGAGCAACAGTAGGTGCTCAATAAATGGTGGCTAATCACAACAGTACTGATATTTCTACTTTGGGAGGCTGAGGTGGGAAGGTTGCTGAAACCCAGGAATTCCAGGGCAGCCTGGGCAACATAGTGAGACCCTGTTTCTACAAAAATATTTGAGGCTGGGTGCGGTGGCTCACGCCTGTAATCCCAGCACTTTGGGAGGCCAAGGTGGGCAGATCACGAGGTCAGGAGATCAAGACTATCCTGGCTATCCTGGTGAAACCCCATCTCTACTAAAAGTACAATAAAATTAGCCAGGCACCGTGGCGGGTGCCTGTAGTCCCAGCTACTCAGGAGGCTGAGCCAGGAGAATGGCGTGAACCGGGGAGGCAGAACTTGCAGTGAGCCAAGATGGCACCACTGCACTCCAGCCTGGGCAACAGAGCAAGACTCCGTCTCAAAAAAAAAAAAAAAATTGAAAATTACCCAGGTGTGGTCATGTACACCTAGAGGCCTCTAGAGGCAGGAGGATCACTTGAGCCCAGGAGTTTGAGACTGCAGTGTGCATGATCTCACTACTGCACTCCAGCCCAGGCAATCTCAAAAAACAAAAAACAAAAAAACCTGCCAGGTGTGGTGGGTCACGCCTATAATCCCAGCACTTTGGGATGCCAAGGTGGGCGGACCACCTAAGGTCAGGAGTTTGAGACCAGCCTGGCCAACATGGTGAAACTCCATCTCTACTAAAAATAGAAAAATTAGCCGGGTGTGGTGGGGCATGCCTGTATTCCCAGCTACTCGGGATGCTGAGGCAGGATAATCACTTGAATCTAGGAGGTGGAGGTTGCACTGAGCTGAGATTGCGCCACTGCACTCCAGCCTGGGTGATGAAGTGAGACTGTTCCAAAAAACAAAACAAAACAACAACAATAAAACCACACACTCCAGCCTGGGTGACGGAGTGAGACTGTTCCAAAAAACAAAACAAAACAACAACAATAAAACCACAGTGATCTCCTAAAAAACAGAAAAGAAAAAAGTATGGTGTGATGGTGCATGCCTATAATCCCAGCTACTCAGGAGGCTAAGCCAGGATTGCTTGAGGCTAGGAGTTCAAGACCCACCTGGGCAACATCGTGAGTCTCTGTCTCATTGGGGGGGTGGGGGAAAATGACCTCCTGCCTTGGGTGTCATTGGCAGGACGGGTGGGACCTGATGGGCATGGGTGGTCCTTTCAGTCGCTGTCCATCTCCCTTCCTTCCCAGTGTCCCCTGGGCTCCCCCTGCCCTCATTCACCCCTTGCTGAACCTACCTTTTCCTGGACCATTCAGGCACCATCACGGGGTATTACTCAGCTGAGGCCTGTACCAGCGCTGCAAGGGTGACCTATGCCCTCCTAACAGGCATGGTATATGGAGTGATAAAGTTAGCCACCCAGCTAGTATGTGATGCCAGGCACTGGGTTAGCTTCCTGCAAAACCAACACCTCCTCCACCCTAGAGAGTGACGTACAGATAAATTCCCCCACACTGACCTTGAGGGGAGGGTGACTGGGATGTAGGGCCTGGAGGGGACCTGCCCTGTGCTGCAGTCAAGGGAGGCATGGCCACACCAAGCCTGCAGAAGGCCGTGAGGCCAGGCTGGGCACACGGCAAGTGTTTAGTAGAGAGCCCATGGTAACACAGAGACCTCTCCTACATAAATCTCACCAAACTCCTGACAAGAGGGGTCTGAAATTAAAGGCCAAGTACGGTGGTTTATGCATGTAATCCCAACACTTGGGAGGCCAAGGTAGGAGGATCGCTTGAAGCCAGGAGTTCAGTTGAAAACCAACCTGGGCAACATAGCAAGATCCCAGCTAACACATTAAAAAAAAAGAAAAAAGAAAAAAGAAAAAAAAAAGAAACAAGTCAAGCTGGGTGCGGTGGCTCACACCTGTAATCCCAGCACTGTGGGAGGCTGAGGCGAGTGGATCACTCGACGCCAGGAGTTTGAGACCAGCCTGGCCAACATGGTGGAACCCCATCTCTAATAAAAATACAAAAATTAGCCAGGTATGGTGGCGCATGCCTGTAATGCAGCTACTCGGGAGGCTGAGGCAGGAAAATCGCTTGAACCTGGCAGGTGGAGGTTGCCGTGAGCTGAGAGGGTGCTGCCGCGCTCCAACCTGGGCGACAGAGCAGGACTGTATCTAAAAAACAAGCAAAAAACTAGCCGGTTGTAGTGATGTGTGCCTATAGTCCCAGCTACTTGGAAGGCTGATGCGGGAGGATCACTTGAGCCCAGCAGCGGGAGGCTGCAGTGAGCTGTGGTGGCACCACTGCACTCCAGCCTGGGTAAAAGCAAGACCCTGTCCCTAAAAGAAAAGCGAAATCTTTGAAACTTACATTTTAATAACGACAAAGATAAAGCAGCTCAACTCAAGGAAGAATGAATAAGCCCTACCAGGTGATTTGGGAGCAATGACAGATTTTGTTAACTAAAGAAGCAAACTCCAGCAGTGAGGACGTGACACCAAATCCCCAAAAGGGTCAAAGCTCTGGGTCACAGATAAAATCTTCCAGAGCAGTCATTCTCAGATTGTCATTCTTGGCCATCATAATTATCGCCCAGGAACTTGCTACAAATGGAAACTTTCAACTGGTCGTGATGGCTGACACCTGTAATCCCAGCACTTTGCGATGCCGAGGCGGGCGGATCACCTGAGGTCAGGAGTTCAGGAGCAGCCTGACCTACATGGAGAAACCCCCGTCTCTACTAAAAATACAGAAAAATTAGCTGGGCATGGTAGCAGAGACCTGTAGTCCCAGCTACTTGGGTGACTGGAGGCAGGAGAATTGCAGACCACAGGCTTTCAGAGAAATAAACAAAGTAATTTCTTTCTTTTTTCTTTTTATTTTGAGACAGAGTCTCACTCTGGCACTCAGGCTGGAGTGCAGTGATGTGATCTCAGCTTACTGCAGCCTCAATTTTGGCTCAAGATCCTTGTGCCTCAGCCTCTTAAGTAGCTGGGACCACAGGTGTGTACCAGCACTCCTGGCTGGTTTTTGTATTTTTTTGTAGAGATGGGATCTTGCTATGCTGCCCAGGCTACAGTTAGAAATTTATATCAGGCAGAACCAAGAAACACATTATATGTCCCTCATTCCACCTGTTTAAAATTCCCTTCTTGCCTTTTCCCTTTTCATATGTTAGGTTTTGAGCTCCTTGGCCTTCTTTTTTTTTTTCTTTTTGCAGCTTATGGAAAATTGATACTGAGCTTGATAATGTTGTGAGAGAAAAGGAATTTCAGGAAAACAAGAAAGAGAGGCCAGGTGTGGTGACTCACACCTGTAATCCCACCACTCTGGGAGGCTGAGGCGGGTGGATCACCTGAGATCAGGAATTTGAGATCAGCCTGGTCAACATGGTGAAACCCTGTCTCTACTAGAAATACAAAAATTATCCAGCAGGCATGGTGGCGCACACCTGTAGTCCCAGCTACTCAGGAGGCTGTGGCAGGAGAATCGCTTGAATCCGGGAGGTGGAGGTTGTGGTGAGCCGAGATCGTCCCATTGCACGCGAGGATGTGTCTCTTCTTTTCAGCAGCTGCAAAGTGGTAGACACCATTTCATGTCATAAAATTGATTCAAAGATTCTTGCCCGAATAAGGAGTGTAATTGATATACTCATGAAATTTGTTGTTTCCTGTTGCTAAAAGTGATACTTGGGAACAAGATACTAAAACATGCAGAAAATGGATGAATCTCAAAAACATGCTGTGTGGAAGAAGCTAGACCCAAAAGAGCATCCCATATAATTCTATTGATGTGAAATTCTGGAAACACCAGATCTAATCCATAGTGACACAGAGCAGATCAGTGGTTGCCTGGGTCAGGGCTGGAAGGTGGATTGACTGGAAGGGGTCAGAGGGAACTCCCTGGAGTAATGAGAAAGTTCTTTTTTTTTTTTTTTTTGAGACAGGGTCTCACTTTATCACCCAGGCTGGAGTGCAGTGGCTCGATTTCGGCTCACTACAACCTCTGCCTCCCAGGTTCAACCATTTCTCCTGCCTCAGCCTCCTGAATAGCTGGGATTACAGGCATGCACTGTGACACCGAACTGGTTTTTATATTTTTAGTAGAGACAGGGTTTCACCATGTAGTACAGGCTGGTCTTGAACTCCTGACCTCAGGTGATCAGCCTGCCTTGGCCTCCCAAAGTGCTGGGATTACAGGCATGAACCACCGCACCGACCTAGGGAAAGTTCTTTGTTGTTGATTTGTTTTTGTTTTGAGACAGGTTCTCACTGTGTTGCTCAGGCTGGAGTGCAGTGGTCCTGCCTCAACTCACAACAGCCTTCCTGACCTGAACCTAGGTGATCCTTCCACCTCAGCCTCCCAGGTAGCTGGGACCACAGGCCTTTGCCAACACGCTTGGCTAAATTTTTAAACATTCTTTGTAGAGATGATATATCACTATGTTGCCCAGGCTGGTCTGGAACTCCTGGGGTCAAGCAATGCTCCCACCTTGGCTTCTCAAAGTGTTGGGAATACAGACATGAGCCATCGCACCTGGCCTTAATTTTTTTTTTTTTTTGTGACAGCGTCTTGCTCTGTCGCCCAGGCTGGAGTGCAGTATTGTGGTCATAGCTCACTGCTGCCTCCAATTCCTGGCTCAAGTGATCCTCCTGCCTCAGCCTCCTAAGAAGCTGGGACCACAGGTGCATGCCACTATGCCCGGCTAATTTTTTTAAAAAATTGTAGCCAGGTATCTCCTATGTTGCTGAGGCTGTCCTGGAAGTACTGGCCTCAAGCAATTCTCCCGATTCAGCCTCCCAAAGTTGGGACTACAGGCATGAGCCACTGCACCCAGCAGAAAGTTCTATATCTTTTTTTTTTTTTTTGAGACAATCCTCGCTCTGTTGCCCAGCTGGAGCCGCAGTGGCCGGATCTCAGCTCACAGC